TCAAATCAAACGACAAATTTTCTTCATTGCTTAAACAATCAGTGTGACTCGATAAGATTCACGATGGAAACCGAGAACTCAGAGAGAACCATCAACTTTCTTGATTGTCGTGTGAAAATCAGTGGATCTCATGGATTTCAAACAGGCATCCATAGGAAAGCAACCCACTCAGACAGATATTTGAATTTTGATTCTGCGCATCCACAATGCATAAAACGTTCACTTATCTCGTCACTAGCAAACAGGGTTAAAAATCTCTGCACCGAGGAGACAACACGGAAAGAAGAAATGCAACGATTAAACCGGGTACTGCAGGACAACAACTACCCACAACGGCTTATACGACATGAGCTTTCCAAACCTAGAACGACCACAAAAAGCAAGGGTACAACAGACTGGCTGACATCCACTGGTATATCCTACAGATCGGGGACATCTGAGGCAATCAGGAATATCCTCGGTAGTTACAACATCCGGGTTTTCTTCCGGATAGATAACACACTTCGACACAAGCTGTCCAAGATCAAAGATCCAATCCAAAAACAGGACCAAAGCAACTGTATTTATAAGATCAGTTGCAAAGATTGCCGAGCAGAATATATTGGGCAAACATGCAAACAGCTTGGAGTGAGAATTACAGAACATCGAAAAAAAGAAAAATTGAGACCAACCAATGCCGCACAGCTCAACAAACTCGAACGAGATTCGGCGATCGCACTTCATACCATTGCCGAAGGATATCGTATCGATTACGAAAACACGAAAATTATTCAACGAGGTTTTCGAACGAACACCGAGCGCCTATACGCCGAGGCTTTGGCAATTAGTGCCCATCCTGGGTGTGTAAACAGAAACGACGGGGCAGGGGTTTCGAGCATCTGGACAGCGTTAACATCACTTGCCAGCACTCGTCCCAACGCTGATTTGACCTCAGATAACTCCGTTCCCACAGACAAACATTGCACAAACGGATGTGCCCAACCTCCGATCCGGATCAGTGATGTACACACAGGCACGGACACAGTAGTATATGCAAACGCACGCACGCACGCACGCACACACACACACACACACACACACACACATACACACGCAATACGTGAGAGGCTAGTTGGCAAAACTGTTCCTGACTCATTCGATCGTAAAAATCGCCTTGATAAAGGTTACCCGCGGTAACCGAAACGTCGGCTTATTTCACCTGTACCGACATCGCTGTTTTCCCAAAAATTACAATTTGATATGGCTCCACATCAGACGCAATATATTTGATATAATATCCACTTGTCTTTGCTTCTATGGGATAGGGGTCATTAAAATATACGATTTCTCGACTTTGACGATGGTTGCTGGTTTAACAGTTGTAAAATGACAAAGCCATAGTAAGAAACACAAATATAATTTATTTATCAAAATGAACTATAAACTTCAGACACATATTGTACTTTCATTTCGTGTTTTGTTTCCCCTTCTTCCTTTGTGAGCACCAGAGGCAATCGCTTTTGCATGGAGTCCACCAATTTGACTAGCCAAAAGAATTTGCCAGTTTCCCCTAAAACATAACACACTAACCACTGATGACCAATGTTGAGGCAGTTAACTTATCCCTATTTCTAACACAGGAAGAAATTTTCGATTACATTAAAATCCTAATTGTTGGGCGGCAATTTAATGAATTTAATCTTGGAATTGACCCCTTCAGAAACTGCATAAATTTAATAAAGTAATATTTAATAAGATCTAACCGTTTTCTACCATCAATCTCAAGCGAGAAGATATACTAACCTTTATCTCTGAAAAATGACTTCAAAGAATGCATTTTGAGAATGACAGCTATCGAAAACCTGCCTTATCAGAGCAAGAAATTTTGCGACATCCAGACCAACAACAAAACGCCCAGTATCTGTTTCCCTCGCAACTCGTTAGGTTGGACGCAGACTTACCTCTTTTAACAGGTAAAACGAAATTCATTGGAAAACTAGATTAGTAGATAATCTTTCTTCGCCTGTTGTATTCCTCTTTGGCCACCCTGAGATAAACCCATTGCCAAATACACAGGCGATGCGATTTTAATTTGCTGGCAAAATCAACACACGCTCCACTCTGTTGAGCGTTCAATAACGGCTTCATATCAGGTGACCTCATATCTACTTCCAATTGAGTCATCATTTTCCAGACGGTAGCGTGATGAAAAAATGACTAATCCGCTAAGACTATACTCCGCATTGGTTATATGAGACTCTTCTCAGCTGAGATCAAATTCAAACATCGTCTTCCTTCGATGTGATCGTTTCCTACCCCTTGGTTTATCTCTTGTTGAAGAAATTCCGCTGGTTGTGCAACAACTTGGGCTCATGTTCACATCAAAGTATTTGCGCAAGTCAAGAACTGAGTCATCGCATTTATGTGCCTCTCGGATGAATTACCTCCTGACTTCAGTTATCTCCTGAAATCTCTTGGNCTTGGATATTTCATCCAACACACATATTTAACACACCTCAGGGTCAACCTTCGAAGGTCAAAATTTCTTTCTTGGAATATATTTTCAGTATTAGGGATATTATGTGAGTAATTTTTAGCCAAAATAATTGATCAATTTATTTAAGCTAGGATATTTTCATTAATTGGCTTATTTATTGTGCACTGAATGAAAAGAGATAATCAATTTAGAATAAGTGCGTTTAGCTTAATGAACACTTTAATGAAACAGAAATCATTTATTAGAAAGGATGAATATCCATGCTGCTTTGTATAAAACATTTTCCAAATCTGAGCTGCAACTTTTGAACAACTACAAACTTTATCCTGACACTCAAGGTCAAGCAAATTCAAATGGTTGTAGAAGAGAACCAAGTTCATAGTAGTGGGAGATAAAGTCAGGAATAAATACAATTTACCCACAGCCATCAATATACGAGAATGATACTGGAAACTGAAATGAATTTCCAAACTTAACGTGATGTTGAACGAATTTTATCAATACCTGTATGTCATCTGCCACATTGTGCCTCTTGTCTGGAGTCTCGGATCAGCAGCTCGATTCGCAGCGACACTTACGTGAATACAGTAGGAAGAAAAATTATCTCAATAAAGTCCCAATCGGCTGTAAAAATGACTGTTGCAAAATATACTCTGTAGCCTTTTGGACCGAAATCCAGGGTCATCGATTACCGAATATTTGATGGCGATTTAATACACATTACCCGATCTACCGTTTTGGACCGCTGTAGTGTATCCTTAGTCCGATTATGAACACAGAGCTTTATTTGCCATGGGCATGATCTTAGTTCATTTTGTGTAGATACTTTCCTCTCCTCTTCATGTTGGTTTACCACTTATTAACACAATGTTGTATATATTTCACACATTTTTACGTAAGCAGCTGCAAAGAATAAAACTAAATCGAACACAAACAAAAATAACTCACCGAAGTACACGAAACGCTGCGCTACATGCCGCAGTTTCATCGTAACTGGTAATATTTGTACCCAGATTGAGGCCTTGGTTAATTTGTTCCTCGAGCGGTCTTTCCGTTGCCGATAGTCGATCGAAAGTGAGCGAAGTGGCTCCTTCCAGTTCAGGAATTCGACTAGCCACTAGCATTGTGTTCACAGCAAGATTGGACAACTCCAGTTCCACACTAACGTGCGGATACGACCCAGGGTGATTGACTTCGATCACCTGGAAAGCGTCAAGTGGGTTCGGCAGAAGGAAATCGTGAGAACAGAAAGGATCGATACTTTGAGTTGCACTTTTTCTAACTATTCAGTGCTGCTGTGCAGTATGGTTATATCTACCTTTGGTCATCATATTATTATATTTCACACTTGTCTGAGGACAGACTGTATGCCAAGCAAATCATGGTACAATAATCTTTATCAAAAAGAAAAACCTTTCATGATTGGCTGGTGGGCTGAATACTGCGAGCTATGACACTTCCTTGAGACAGCTCCGACGGTAATCCTATCCTAGCCTGTTCAATTCATCAAAGATAGAAATTCGTCAAGTCTCCGACACCTAAAAATGCATTATGCATCTCATCTCAATCCACAGTGTTCCGCTCGAATATAAGTTGAGTTGATTAAAACGCAAAAGTACAATACTAAATTGGCAAATGGAACCTGTACTTTCCTGACTACCGGGACGCGTGCGGTACACTACGAATTCGCATGAGCACGTTTTGCAGCAATTAAAAATTATATTCACAATACTTTTTATAATCTACACACTAGCAGCTAGGACTATTTTGTATCACCTTGATGTTCTGGATTAACAGTACTGTGTTCGACAGACCGATCGATGGATAAGCTTCCTATACTAGACCATAATATTGATCAATTGCGAGTACAGCTCTGGAATCCGTGCTGTAAAACAAGTTTCGTTCGGGAAAAATGAACACTGGATGACCCCGCCCCTCCACAAACTTTGGATTAAGGGCAAAATAGAGAAACAGCATATTAGCGTTACGGCCTCTTAAACTTGAAATATTGGTCAATTAGCCCATCGAGAATGAGAGCTACAAGGCCTCATGATTGCATGGAAATCAAGGGAGCACACCTTCAGCAAATGTGCGCTCAAATCACAAATTATACGATTATGCATTTGACAAGGACCTCAGCATGTAAAAATGTATCTAGTTCATTTATGTAGTTCAATTTTTTATAATTTCAGAAGTTGAAAAGCTGTTGGATTACAGTCTTCCCAATTGTTCAAAGTTCCAATCAGTGGATGAATACAGAATTTTGCGGAGATCTAATTGGGTACTACCCTTTCGTTGCAAATTAGAGTAGGGGACTTGGGAACGCTGGTTTCATTCTTGTACAGCATTCCTGATGAGTAGCTTTTAGAGGCTCAAGCAATAAATTGAGCTTTGTTCCTGTAATCATATCGATCAACTGTCACTAACAGTACTCATACTCGAGATAATTTGGTCCAAGGGCACCATTCCTGCTTTCTTCTAAGCCTAACTAACATGTCTCTCCGAAGTCTGTACACCCTACCTGATAACACAGAGCAAGAAAACAAACACTGGGTGTTATACGTTGTGAGAGCGAGCCAAAAAAGCGGAGTTAACATACGCCAGCTTCTTCCATTTCCAACAATAGACGCTGATCGTCCGTCTCTTTTCCACCCAAATCAGGACAACCTGTTGGACTGCACCACAGAATATGATTTTGTTTGCTAAGATGACGTGCGTAGAACAAGTCACAGCCCAGTTCGATTGCTGCGATCGGACTGGCAGCCAATGGGATCTCGTCACCTGACTCTGGCGGAGTCAACGAAACAGGAGCGGGAGCCTCGGATACCGGTAAATTGGCCACTGGAACGTGAAGATATCGTGCCAATTCCAACTGGCGTTCAAAACGAGCTTCCGACTAAATAACAGAAAGAAAAGATATGGAGGAAGGGAATAAACTCAGCATTTTCAGTATCTGGCAAATTGTTAAGAAACAGATAATACCATCCAATGGGTTTGCTGGTTTCCTCATAAACCCACTGCTTTAAATAAACTGTGCAAGTCGTTCATCCTTGAAGAGTCGAGATTCGACTACGATAATCAGCAATAACATGACCAGTTATTATTCAGTGAAAGAAAGAAAATAAAACTAGTGTAACCGATACTCTGGAAGTGAAGTTTATCAAGTTTATTGATCTTTGAATCCCAACCCCCATTTATGAAAGTAAAGAGACAAATTACTGGGGGCTTTGCTATGTGCCTAATTTATTTTTGTGACTGTATATCATCGTTCAACAGTTGTCGCAAACGATGCGGAACAATGACCGATTTGGTAACCTTCTCCCCGTTCTCTAGTGAAAATGTTGGAACATTCATTGGGCCAAAAATGATAAAATACACGGAAAAATGATCAGTGTGCTAATCAATACCGGATTGACACTTTCTAGGCAACAGATCATTATTCACTTAGAACATAAACTCCGTCGAATTAGCGGGTTTTCTGAGCATTTGCAGGTGGGATTATGTATTTTACAATTCGGGTACTAAAGACCGTAATGATTAAGCAAGGCAGATTATATTGTTTGAATAACCAATGCCATTCAGAGTTACTAGTCAAAGATGATACCTGGATAAAATACCGGATTCCACGTTTTATCGCCGTTTGTTGCCAATTTAACAGACTATACGCATCTGCGCTTGGATCCAACTCTTCTCCCGTCGGTGAATCGCTTTCATCCAGTGTCCCAGCCAACGGAACGACCGGGAATTCGGTTAGGGAAGGTAGTTGAGGTGTACGACGCCGTGCAGTCATAGCTTCGCCTAGAGACCAGCCGATTTCATTCGCATCGACTGCGGCTGACGAAGAGATTGGAGTATTGGGAACCGATGCATGCAAGAGGACAAGGACAGGAGCGGTTGAGACTGTGGTAGACGAGGACACATGCGCAGAGGATGTTACAATTTCACTCCGTTTTCCCTGGCGTATCGCAGCTAACCAACGCTGGACAACACGACGCCCAGTTGCCAAATCGGTTTCTACACGAACCTCAAAAGTTAATGATTCCGGGGGGAAATCGGAAGGCTGAGAAGCACCAACTAGTTTGGCTCGTTGGCGGGCATACAGAGTGGGCAAATCTGGCAGTTGGTTTACACGGGCGCTGTCGATTAAACAGACATACCCACAGGCCATCCAGGGCACCACGAGCAGGTAAAGCTAGAAAGGGAATATGGTAGAGGAAATTGAACAAATGAAAGTAATGGAAGAAGGGTGAAACAAAGATCAATGTTTCCCATCTACATTCACTGTTTTACAGAATGCCTTCGAATTATGCAGTATAAGTCTTTCCCTGGAAACTACTATTTGTAATCTGATTAACAATCTGATTAACCGCCAGAAGTTTAGCACTGCAGTTACATAACAAGGGTTTGAAAGAGGAGTCCGGATTAACAATATTCGGTTCTCATGAGATGTTTTGCAATTGATGACGCTGGGTTCCGTGTGACCGTCTGATTATTGAGTGTGGGTTGCGTCAGCAACTTCACCAGCTACTTTTGAATGTGTTCGGTCATTCGGTGTGATGCTTGACGTTTGGTTCTGTCTATGTACGCGTCACAGTAACTACAAATGAACTGGGAAAGTGAGACAACTGGATTTCCAATCGAGTATACGCACACGAGCTTGTTTGTCAACTTGTGTTCTCCTTATGCGTTCCGTGGGTCTGCTTAAAGATATATCCATTCGTCCAAACAGATTCCAGGAGTAGAAGTAATAACTCGAAGTTGAGCAACCAGGAGTGTGCGGTTCAGAGCTGACTTTAGCCGCAATACTTTATTTGTGATAAAACGTTTCGTTATCAGAAAGTGGACAACACACCTCGCCAGTCAAACGGGGATGCAATTGGTCAAGTTGGCTGCAATTAGTTCGCAGCTTGTTGCCCCTAACTTTCATCTTTGTTTGATCAAGAAATTCTTTGTGATACTAATGAAGCACAGCTTTTGATAAAGATCACTTTTGGGGAAGAATAGGTGCCGATGCACCTACGAAATATACCCATCGGAGAGGAATAACTTACGCAATCATAGCACCGTGAACACCCATGTCATCTAGAACACGAAACTTAGGGGTGACTTTTGGATCTGGATATGAATGGATAATCTTAATCGAAGTTCAGCACTAGGGTACTGAAGACTGAGATAAAAAAGATACACAACTTTCTTGCTTCTGGATGATATTACTAATTTATCACAATGTTATATAGCTGTAATGAGAAACAATTTGTGGTGGGACTCAATCACTTGTCCTTTTTTGCAAGACGAAATTGTTCTGGCATTGCCTTATTCAAAATATGACAGCATTCCCAGATGTAAGCGCTTATGAATCAAAAATATATACTTACTTGCCGGATTGCATCACGTCGACCAGTCGCGACAGGACCCGGTGACGGCTGTTGGAAGTGAAATAGAAAAGCGTGACGAAACGCTTTGGTGGACAAATACGGATGTTGAGCTAGGGAGCAGAAACGGAGATGATCCAAATGGAACACCGCCTCCTCTAACGATGCCCCCGGATAAGAGGATTTTAGCGATTCCCGATCCACTTTGCACAAACATCCCAGTCGCATGAGTGCACGAAACAAGGATGGCATGTTTAACTCGTATACGCCCTCGATATCGGGTCTAGCCAGATCTGCAGCAATATCTGTGGCATGTAACGCGTACACATCCTCCGGTACTGTGTACTCGTACAAATGGAACAGAGTGTGACTTCGTGGAAGCAAGCGTCCACCAGCGCCGGAAGCTGTCCCAGTAGCCGAACCACCAGTGCTATGACTCACTCCAGCAACCTTGCGATATAACGGACCGGAATCGTTTGGTTTAGGAGTGCGTAAATTCACATAGAATCGACGGGGTACTAACAGACTGACTGGCTGCACGATTGGAGGCGAGCTGGAGTTCGGGGACTCAATCAGAATCCACATAGTATATTTGCCTGGTTGATTTGCATCTGCGGAAATTTCGATAATCTACAAGGTGAAAAACATGTCCACATATTGAAGGGTTGGTTGTTGTTAGTCGTGACAAACAACAGTTACTATGAAAAGGTAGCAGATCAAAACATAAGTGGGTTTATGATCTTCAGAATAGAAGGATGAATGGATGTTTTGGTTTAGAAAACTATCAACCATGCACTTTCATGCGACGGTTTTGGTTGGTTGCTGTCTATGGATTGCCCATTTCGATGAAGGAATAGGAGGGATGAATTTTCTGGCGAAAACAAGAATCCAGGCCGACGAATGGATGATTGAAAGTAGAAAGGAGTGCATACGATTCCCGTAATTAAGCACCACAGGAGTGGACATAGCTCCATTGTTGCTCAATTGTTTTAAAACACGAGTTAAACCAAATAGTTCTGCATAAGCACACAAACAGTTCGATCTATGCGTCCGTCATGATTAATGGATCTCATGCGTCCAATACGGGGCAAGGCCGTACATCGCCTCATCGAGCTTCTTAGAACTCGGTTAGCCACGTCATTTGATTCGCCCATCGAGCGGTTTTCTCGGGGATAAAGCTGCTGATGCCCAGATCGGTATCTTGAAACAACAATGAGCGGGTCTGGTAAGAGATGAAGATCAAAAAGGTGAAATATGGTCTAAGGAACAAAACAGCTACCCTTATCAGATACTCACAAGCTAGTTACCTATCTCTTACATATACCAGACGTTTTTTCTGTTCACAAACACAAAAATGGAGATCACAATCGCGTTTATTGTTTTCCTTGACCGTCCAAGTAATTCTTTTTAATAGCTAGTAATCTGCATGAACTTTGTATTCGTATAGCTTGTGTAAGCATATATGCTTACATTTCAGTTAAAAATGTACACTGCTCGTCACACAGAATGAAATCATAATAATATTATTATTAATAAAAACGAAAGGAAGAGAATGTCGGTGATATTTGTTTAATGTACAAAACTTTGATGTAGTTCATTTCAGACCTGTTCTTTTTTGGTAAGTAGTCGGGCCAAGTAGGGAACAGGGGAATTCTTATAAATGTTAATGCGAGAGGGTAGATGTTCAAATGAGGAGCGTGTGGACGGATAGGGACGACAAGACGATAAATCAGGATGCAGTAGATGAAGATACGTCTAGAAGCTTATCGGCAAATTTAACATAAAATTTGATGTGACCATCAATGAGTTCTGTGATTAATTAATCGATCGGAATTAATGATGCACAACTGATGATTCAACAACACGCGCGCCCTTCGATTGGCTGCGCTACACTCTCGTGCTTATTCGTCACGTTGGAATTTATCGTTTAACTCATCCATACAACGGTACTATTCATGACCAGGATCTACAAATATTCTCGTCAGGACATGCTACGACTAAAAACTGTGTATTCTGTGCTACCCACTGATTACTTGCTTGGTGAGAGTCATAAAAGCCCTTTGATCAAAAAACGCCGACGGGCCAGATGGCAGACTGCACTTACTCGCACACCTCCTGCCAAGATGACTGTGCCACCATTGGTCA